TGTAAGGAGTACTGCGTTACTCGATGCAAGATCAGAAGACCTTCTTTCTAATCTCAGATGCTCAACACTATCCCATTATAATATATATATTCAGGGAGATCCATTGTAAATTGGAATATTGACGGAATGTCAGAAAACTAAATACTTGATCTAATGAAACATATGACTATGTACGCAACTGCGTGCAAGATAAGTGAAAATCAAGACCAAGAGATAGCCAAAGCCATTATTTGTGGATTTACAGGATAGTTAAGGGAATGGTGGGATTTTCATATGGAATAAAATACAAAAAATGAAATACTAACTGCCACAAAACAGTGGGCGGTTAAAAATGAATTTGGCCAAGATATGGTAAATAATGAAAGTGATGCAGTGAATACCCTAATATATACTATTACTCTCCACTTTGTAAGGAGTACCGCGTTACTTGATGCAAGATCAGAAGACCTTCTTTCTAATCTCAGATGCCCAACACTATCCCATTATAATATATATATTCAGGGAGATCCATTGTAAATTGGAATATTGACGGAATGTCAGAAAACTAAATGCTTGATCTAATGAAACATATGACTATGTACGCAACTGCGTGCAAGATAAGTGGAAATCAAGACCAAGAGATAGCTAAAGCCATTATTTGTGGATTTACAGGATGGCTAAGGGGATGGTGGGATTTCCATATGGAAGAAAATACAAAAAATGAAATACTAACTGCCACAAAACAGTGGGCGGTTAAAAATGAATTTTGCCAAGATATGGTAAATAATGAAAGTGATGCAGTGAATACCCTAATATATACTATTACTCTCCACTTTGTAGGGAGTACTGCATTACTCGATGCAAGATCATAATACCTTCTTTCTAATCTCAGATGCCTAACACTATCCCATTATAACTGGTACAAAGATGTGTTTTTCTCTAGACTCCATTCAAGAGAAGACAGTAAATCAGATCACTGGAAAGAAAAGTTCATTACCGTTTCACCCCATCTTTTTGCTGAGAAGGTTAAAACACGATTAAAGAATAAGCATGGAGGAATAATCCCATATTCTTTGTATACATTAGGAGAACTATCAGTCGAAATTTATGCAGAAGGCCTTGCTCTTTGTACGGATCTAAAGCTAAAAAGGTAGCTGGAGAAACAAAGAATGACTGGAAAGAAAGAACTTGGAGATTTTTGGGAACAGTTTGGATGCAATTCTCTGCCTTGCTCCAAAGATTCCAACAAAAGAAAATACAAAAAAGGGTACAGCAACAAACCAAGATCCCATAGAGCGGCTGCCAAAGATAAGTTTTTTAAGAAATTTTCCCCCAAAAGTAATTTCAAGAAAACCAAGGGAAAAAGGAGGATACCTGTTTGTTATAATTGTGGTGAGGTAGGACATTACAAGAATAAGTGTAGAATAAAAAAGAAAATAGATGCCTTACAATTAGATGATAATATCAGATATCAACTATTTCATATATTACAAATAAATGAAGAATCTGTTGATAATTCTTCTAGTTCTGATTCAGAAATGTTGGCGGGAGAAATAGAAAACGAAGATTTAATTCTCAGCAGTTCAGACTCAGAAAATGAAAATACTGATACTAATTGTTTCTGTAACACTCTTACCAAAGAAGAGAATCTAATCATAGATATAATAGATAAGATACCTGACCCTGAGACTAAGCGAGAAGCTTTAGTCCAATATATAAATATAGCCAAAATGAATAAAAAACCCTCTCCTCCTTTACTTCGCACCCAAGAGGATTATAGTTTTGCTAAAATCCTTAGGAGAGTAGAAAATAAAAATAATAATCATAAGGAACCTTCTGTTTCTGAGTTGAGACAAGAAATTAATGAAGTTCGAAATGACCTAATAAATCTAAAGAATAGAGTTCAGGTTTTAGAACTAACCTCCAGCCCTGTGGAGGATAGTCCTGTAAATTGAAGCGATGAAATAGAATTTGATAATATCATAAATAGTTCTAAAAGTTCTCTATTGCCTAAAGCAGAAGAATTTCTCCCTAAAAAAGTTAAGGATGAACCAGAGTCCTCTAATACGACACATGATTGTAATTATGTCAGTCTCCTTGACAAAGTAATTACTCAGAAATGGTTCACCATGATAAAAATAATCGTTCAAAAAGAATATAGTTTCCAAACTCTTGCTTTAATAGACTCAGGAGCAGACTTGAATTGCATTAATGAAGGGCTTGTTCCCACTAAATATTTTAGTAAGACCACACAGGTCTTAAATACAGCAGACGACAACAGAATGATTATAAATTATAAACTTTCAAATGATGTGGTACGTAATAATGGAAATTGCTTTGAGTTCCCCTTTATCATGGTAAAAGGATTAAGCCAATCTGTAATCCTAGGAACTCTTTTTTTAAATATGCTCTACCCAATAAAAATTGATATTACAGGGATTGAAGCCAATATAAAAGGGCATGATGTAAAATTTGAATTTCTTGAGAAACCTAAAGTTCGAGAAATCAACAATATTAAAGAAAAAATTTCTAATAAAGAAAAATTCTTATATTACCTAAAAGAAGAAATAAAATATAAAACAATAGAGGCCAAGCTCTTGCTCCCTGAGAATAAGAGGATGGCAGAAAATATTAAAAGTAATATTGAGAAAGAGATATGTGCAGAACTCCCAAATGCTTTTTGGGATAAGAAAAAGCATATTATTAGCCTGCCTTATGAAACTAGTTTTCACGAAAATAAAATCCCCACCAAAGCTAGACCAATTCAAATGAATTCCTGTCTTTTAGAAATTTGCAAAACGGAAATTGCTGATCTACTTCAGGAAAAGTGTATTAAGAAGAGCTCCTTTCCTTGGAGTTGTTCAGCATTCTATGTAGAGAAAGCTTCTGAAATAGAAAAGGTGGCTCCATGATTGGTAATAAACTATAAACCACTCAATAAAGCCTTACGGTAGATAAGGTATCTCATTCCCAATAAGAGAGACCTGCTGGATAGACTTGTGAATGTTTGATCTAAAGTCTGGTTATTGGCAGATTCAAATTGCTGAAGCAGACAAGTATAAGATTGCTTTTAATGTTCCTTTTGGGCAATATGAATGGAATGTTATGCCTTTTGGACTTAAAAATGCCCCATCAAAATTCCAAAACATTATGAATGATATCTTTAATCCTTATACCAAATTTATGATTGTTTATATTGATGATGTCCTAATATTTTCTGATATCCTAGAACAACACTTTAAGCACTTAACTATTTTTGTCAAAGCTATCAAACTGGCTGGGTTAGTTGTTTCTGCCAAAAAGATTAGTCTTTGCCAAACAAAAATTAGATTTCTAGGGCACAATTTTTTCCATGGAAGAATATTTCTAGAGCTATTGAATTTTCTAATAAATTCCCAGATATAATTACTGACAAAACTGAACTTCAAAGATTTTTGGGTTGTCTTAATTATATTGCTGATTTTTATAAAAACCTAGCTATTGATGCTAAACCATTATTTCAAAGATTGAAAAAGAATCCTCCTGAATGGACGGATGTGCATACTTCGGTAGTTAGGAAAATAAAGCTAAAAGCCAAAGAGTTACCCTGCCTTACACTCTCAAATCCTCTTGCTTTTAAAGTAATTGAGTGTGATGCTTCACAAATAAGATTGGGAGGAATATTAAAGCAAACAATTTCAAATACGAAACAGTTAGTTTGTTTTACTTCCGGAGCTTGGAATCAGACACAACAAAATTACTCTACGGTTAAAAAAGAACTTTTGGCTATTGTCCACTGTATCACAAAATTCTACAGTGACTTGCTCAACCCAGAAATTCCTAATACGAACTGATTGTAAAGTTGCCAAATATATACTCCATAAGGATGTCAAAAACCTTGTCTCAAAACAAATTTTTGCATACTGGCCAGGTATCCTCTCTTCCTTTGAATTTGACATTGAACACATTAAAGGCAACACTAATTACCTTCCTGATTTTTTAACCCGTGAGTTTTTGCAGGGGGACAGGAGGTTGTTAGCAACAAACAAGGGAAAGGGAAAAATGGAAATAGTCCTTGTGCCAGGCAAGGCTACGGCAACTTCACCAATAACCCCAAACCAAATAGTCAAAAACAGGCACATGAAATAACCTTTTCGCTTGAACCAATACCAATAATGACAAATACAACTGGGGAGAAAAGTAGGTTCGTAGAAATATCTTTCATACCTACTATTATAATAGAAGATATTCATAAAGATTAGGACCCATGTGAAATAGCAGCTATCTATCTGAATAATCATTTACATCTAAATAATGGTGATAAAACCCGAGAATGGTATGAAGCCATCCTTCTTGAAATAGGGTCAATCACCATGGTCCATTTTTATAAGAAAAAAACTAATATTATAGCATACTCAAAATTCCAAATATGCAATATAATTTCATGTAGAGAATGGGGTATGGACCCTTTGAAACCTAGAAAGATGCAATCAGAAGGTTTTAATAATAAATATTTTCAATATTTTGAATACATTAAAGCATGACATAGAACCTTTGCTTTTCAAAATAATAATAATTCTCATACATGGTTCATACAAACAAATATACCAATAATAGGAGAATTCTCGAATTGGTTCAAGAATTGGTTCCAACTGTGGGGATCAGGATCTGAAATACTGCCTCCCTATATTCAAGCTTCTCAAAGGAAGTTATAGACTATAATAATAATAATTCTAAAATAGACCTTCATATGTATTTTATGGCCTTGTAACAAATTCCTTGCATCATGAAATGATCCTACCATATTTAAGATAATTATACAATAATTGGGAATATATCCCAGAATTGGGTAAGCAAATATATATCAAATGGTGGGATGTCTACGAAAATGAAACCTTGAATCAAGAAAAAATAAAGATGGAAAAGGTGCCATCCTCACCCCCTGACATAGAAGCCAATGTAACAGATTATATAAATAAGATCTGCCAACAGAATCCTATTGCCACTAAGGAAGAGCTTAAGAAGAAACTATTACAAATATTTGATGAAGAAGAGGGGGTCATGTCTACGTCTACACAAAATGAAGAGGACTATACACAAGAAAATGAAGACATGGAAATCGGATTATCTCAGTACTAAAGACGGAAAGACTGCACTCCAAAAGCACACGAGTCCTACCAAATACACCTGCCGAAGAAATAGTAAAAAGCCACCAACAACATCTTCTACTTTTCCCGTTCATAAAAAACATATATATAAATATATATATATATATATATATATATATATATATATGTTTTAAGTTGTTCAATGTTGCCAATATTAAATCTTGGTAAAACTGGAATATGAGAAGACTACCAAAAATTAGAACCGAAGTGTAAAATTTGAAAAAGTGTAGACTATGGAGTACTTTTACTTATTTTTGGTCCGTACATATTTTCCTAAAGTTAAGCACTTTATTTATTCAAGGAAAAAGTTTTTATAAGGATGCTACCTTATAATGTAGAACTATGGATGCCCCTAAAAAATCCATCGGAAAAGGTAGTTTTAATGTTGAAAAACCCTTTGATTGATCGTCTCGATATCGAGATATATGACTATGAAAAATAAAAAGATTTTAAGTCTCAGAAATAGTGCATTTTACAACATATTATCTACACCATCTATTTTCAAGACTTTCATATGTTTATAGATCTACTTGATTTTAACCATTTTTGAAATTTAAATTTTTATATTTAGATATAAAAATAGAGTTTGAGATAATCCTGAAAACATTTTACATCAAAATTATATACCATGATAAAATATGAAGGTGCACCTTACCTCCACAGCTACGGATGCATCCATATGCAAACTGCACCCTTTATTCAATGGATGGATCTGTAAGAGAATTAAACCACCCCGCCGCATGACAAAACCAGCCCACACGTCGTTTGCATACAAATTTACCACTCTAGTTTGTATATTTTCAAATAGTGTTCGGACTTACCGGTTACATGTTGATCCAAAATTTTGGAAATTTAATGCCAAGACTTCCCTTTTTGTAATTTTTGTTTTTAGTTTTGCCCTCAGTCTAATATTGCGAACATTAAGATAACATCGGGCCTCACATTTTTATTTTTATTTTTTATTATTGTTCCTGGGCAATCTCATACTTCAAATATCAAACCACCCAATTCTGGACGGTCTATTAAAAAGATAGTACTGCCCTCTACTTAGCTTTTTTTTATTCAGGAAAAGTTTATATAGAGCGTAGGCTCTAAACAATTAAATTAGAACCTACATCAAAAATTTCATTAGAAGAGGGTGTTTTGATGCCCAAATATCCTTAAATTGATCATCTTGATATCAAGATGCATGGACTTGAGAAAAAATGGATTTCAATTTTTGGAAATAGTGTATCTTTTAACGCATTTTTGGACTATCAATTTTTAAGTTATTCAAGTTTTCATAGATCTGCTCTATCTACACTATTTTTAAAGCTTTAAGTTTTATAATTGAAGATGAAAATATATTTTAAGGCTAGTCAAAGATTTCCCATATTGAAAGAACATTTCTCGACACTATTTGAAGGTGTGCTTTATTTTGATTATTTATAGCCTCAACTCTATTGCAAACCGCACCTTTTTATTCTTTTGTTTTTACTATACTGGTATATTGTCTCCAGTACCATACTACATTTGAAATTCAAAAATAATTGCGTCAACCCGATATCTCTAAGTTATAAGGGTTACTAAAAGCATTATCCCTATCCCTGTTTACTTGCTCTTGCTGGTGTGCTATACTTCAACAACAATGCTTTCCTTTATTAGGGAATAATAAAGCACCAACGAGTATGTTGTCACAAGTGTCATTGTCGCCAATGGTAAAATTAGTCCAGTTTAATATTACAGATATCTAACCGGTCTATTTACTTTATTTATTTATTTTTATTTTTTAACATTTTATAAGAAATCCAATATTGAAATCATCGAACCAGTATAGTTGCAAAAAAAAGAAGAAAAATTATTGCTAAGTATGAGGCAATCCAATCCCATATTTCTAAAATTGGAGCGCCAGAGAAATGGGTAGTCAAATGTCTTAGGCATTGAACTACCCCACACACCACAAAAAATGAAAAAAATAAAAAGAAGGTGGTCAAAATTTGCAACTGAGTACAGGGGCAAAATTAGAATAAAAAATATAAAAAAGGGATGTCGACACAAATTTTCCAAAAGTTTGAACGAAATCATAATACCAGATCAAAAACTGGTCCATACGTAATTTTCCCTTGTTGGCATAATTAGAAAAATTGTAGTAGGAGATCGTAAAGGATGAATAATTGCTCAAACATTTGCAAACTTCTTCTATCTTATATAACTTACTGATATCGATTTGTTTATGTATCTAACCATGATTAGTAGAGTTTATGGGTAGAATTTTGTTTTTAAAGGAATGATTTCTATTGCCAGATAAATGCATGCAATGGAATGAATTGTGGAGAAACATTTGCTGGCCCCAATTCACCCAATAAACCTTCCTTGTGGACCGAAAACTGGACATCGCAGTGAGTTTTCTCTTAATAACTTTACTATCTAATGCTATCAATAATGTCTAAAATAATCATGGGAAAACTACAAAAACCCCATGACTCAATTATCTTTGCATTCTCCCACCGACATTTTTTTATCCCAATTTTTACCCCAAAACTAACTTTTATAGCAAAGACCCCCAAGTCAAAAGTCATAGTAGTTTGGAAGATGAAAATTCCCTTGTCTGTAAATAAAGTTGTCACATTCTTGCAACGCTCACAAACTAAAGACGGTCCAACACTTTATAGTGGCGGTCCGACACTTTTTGAATGAACAGTTCGGCACATAAACCAAGCGATCCGGCATTACTTAAATGCATTTCGGCACATAGACCAAGCGGTCCGGCAGTAGTGGCCCTTGGTCCAACACATAGACTAAGCGGTTCAGTAGTAGTAACCGTCAGTAGGGAAAGGGTATTTTTGTCCTCAAACTAGAACTTTTTGACTTGGGAGTATATGTTATAAAAGTTAGTTTTGAGATAAAAATTGTAATAAAAAAGTGGGTGGGGGAAATGCAAAGAAAGTTAAGTCATGGGGTTTCTTTTGTAGTTTTCGCAATAATCATTATGTTTATACCCAACTCACTATTTTTATTTTCTATAAATTCCTCCAAGATCTAAGTTTTAACTATTGGAATTGTTGGCTCTTGGGCGGGTCACTGAGCAGTGGAAGTGACAAACAAATAATAATAAATATGTGGCTTTCGGAATGCTACTACACATGGTCCCCCTTCTCTCCTTTTCTAATCGATTTGTAGAGTTTCCTACTAACCCCAAATACTTTGAATAAGGTTCAGACATGATTTAAATTACCTGCATCCTAAATATTTGATTTGATTAGGAGTTCAAAACTTTTATCACCCCTCGAAGTTAGGTTTTTCTCTGTGATGCTTTCTTAATTGGTAAAACCTAACTCCGAAGGAAGATCCATCATCGTAGGGGCATATTCATCCCCACAAAATTAACATACCTTGTACCTATCATCCTATTTCTGGGACTCTCTTAATAACATCCCATACATGGTGATATTTAATGTTAAACTCTATTTTACATGGAACTTGGTGTATTACTGTATCCATCACACAATTGAGTTTTCAAGTTCAAGAAAGTCCAAAGAACCACAATGGTATTAGTAATCAGTATGAAATTTGACCTCCTAATCTTCATCATCAAGTCAATGTTGTATTCTAAATGTAATGTTCTCATGCTATGGTGCTACCAAAATTAATCACGGCCACAGTGACCATTACCACTATAATTACTAAACACAAGAACCATTCATTTGTAATTTAAAATACCATATGCATTGCATGGGAAGATGGCATAAACTAATTGTTGTTCAAGCCATTTTAGGTTCGTGAGAGCACAATGTCCAGTTGAGTTTTGTCTCTTTGAGATACCTCAAAATGATCACATTATACGATTAAAATGATGCCTAGATGCAAACTTCGGCCCATATTGGGGCTTGCCCACAATGTTTTCCATTAGGTGTGGGCGGCTATGATGCAACAACAGCAGGTCCTTGAGGCCTTGATTACAAGGCCATCCAGGTACTTGAGGAGGCTCAATGACCATATGATGAGGCCAGGTAGATGTCTTAAAGCCCATATGCAGCGTCTCCCCCCTTATTCCCAAACACAATTGTGTGTAAGAGGCTTTAGACCAAGAATCGAAGAGGGCCGAATGGACTAAGCCAGCTAGTGCACAGTTATGGCCTCCACTAAGCAGGACACATTGAGTCACAATCCAGAGCCTCCACGGCCAGATTAGTATGGCCCCTATCTAAACTTGGGCTCTCCATTTGGGGAAAAACCTGAAAAAGAAGTAAGAAATCATAATGATTTTGTAGCTGAGTCATAGAGACAATCAAATCCAAAAGATTAATCTTTAGGTCCCCTAGAGGAAGCATTCATGAGGGGTTCAAAATTGATTTCTTCATGCCAGAGAGGCAAAACTTTATAAGAGGATTTGATTCGAATGTTGGTTCGCTAGGTGAGTAGAAAAAATAACCCAAGAAACAAATGGTAGTTGCGTTCGAATTGAGATGACCACTAACCAGAAATGAATCACTTATTTGTATGGCATTCATCGTATATCTCATACACGTAGTTCTTTTCGCCTGGTGTAAATAACAATCTCTACATCGTGAATCCAATCTTTTAATTACAACAACAAAAAATAAGAATACACAACACAAATCTTCAGGCCTGTATGGAGTAGACTCATGATATTTCAACTTAAATATTTAGCTTTCTCTAGGAGTGCGATAGGTTCATTTGGCTTTTCTATAGGGAGTGAGGAAGTTTGCGAATTAGAGTTAGAGGCATGGACATGTGGTATTTTGGATGTGCCTTCTTCTCTCTTCCCTTATGATTATGATTAATGTTTACTTTTTTGCTGTTTTCAAAACTTACATTGTGTCTCTTTGGTTTGGGTTGGATTTGATGCAAATTATTATCATCCTAAATATTTGATTCTATGTTAGAATTTTTCAGGTTATTTATCAAATCTTGCTTGTAATTCAATTTCCAAGAAGTTTTAAAAAAATATTAGCAAAGGCTACATACTTACTGCCTAATTCCAACATTGGATAACTCTTGCAAAATAATATCTATCCCTATAAATAAAGGAAAATAATTTGTCTTTTATTGTTGTCAACACATTCTAGACCCCAACACATGTTTATTGGAAAATGCAAATGGATGCCAAACCTCTGGAAAAATCTCTATAGAATGACACATAGCTCCGTTCAACATCCTTTATCATAGTGTTTGATCTTATGCCATTTAATTTTCTCTTGATTCTCTATTGATGTAATACTTGTATTTTATGATAGGTGTTTAAAGTTTTATTTTCAATCATGCTTTATCTATGTTTCTACTTATGTTTGTTTCATTTGTACCTCTTAGTATAACAAAAGTCCTAGTGTGAAACTAAGACGAGCGTAATTTTCTTGAAGATACCAAGTGTATGGTGGGAAGCCATATTTGAGATCGGCCGAAGACATTGCCATTACAATTGCACAATTCATTGCAAAGAACGGAAGCTTTGTAAATTACTATATGGTATAACTGATTGTCAACCCAAGTTTTTAAATTCTTATGTGTAGGGTTTTTATCATTGTAATTGATAGCGAGTGCACTATTCATGGCTAAAGTATCATGGAGGAACAAATTTTGGAAGAACGAGCTCTGCTTATGTAACAACAAGTTACTATGATCAGGTCCCTCTGGATGAGTATGGTTAGTATTAGCTTTTATTTATCCTAAGTCACATATTTCCACAACTTCACCAATTTCCACAGCTTATTTAGTTTCAATTTTTGTAGTACATTGTTTCAGCTATTGTGTGTGTTCAGGTATGATAAGGCAACCTAAATGCGGACATCTTAAAGAATAGCATGCTGCAATTAAGAATTTTAGTGAACCATTACTATCAGGAAAAATCACAAACTTCTCCTTGAGCCAATTACAAGAGGTGAGAACCTTAGGTGTTGTTTATATAAGGTGGCAACCTTACTTGTCGAAGTAAGGTCGCATTCTTCTACAATGTAAATTTAGTTGATAGCGTAGATCTAGCACATGTTTAAAAATAATGTCAAGATTTGTCATATCTTTTAAGACAATATCAAATTTACATCATCCAATCAAAATAGAAGGTCTAGATTACTGCAACCTTACTTCTACTAATAAGTTTGCTACCCTAAATAAAGTTTTCTTGATAATCTGTAAGTGGCTGAGTTTAGTATATGTTAGTGTAGGCCCGCATAGTTGAAGGAAAACATGGAGAATGTGTAGTCTTTCTTATTAACAGTGATCAGACTAAGAATGCAAATGTCAATTTTCGTAATTTGAGATATGACTTGCCTCAACGTTCCATCAGTATCCTAAGTGATTGTGTCAATGTGGTATTTAATACTTCCAAGGTATGTGAACTCATTTTAGTTGTTTTGGCTACTTGTTGCTGCATAATTGGCATGACATTAACATTAATATTAGACAATATATTAGCTGGAAATATCTACTCTAATATTTCCCCATGGTTTTCTCTATGTGGTTGCCATAACAGGTTATTGTGGTACCAAATGTAAGATCTTATTCAACATCACAAAAAGTAGAGAAGTGGGAAGCCTATAGTGATCCAGTTTTGAGTTCCAGTAGTAATGCACCTATAGTATCAAACAACTTGTTGGAGCACATGAGTACCACCAAAGATGAATCATATTACTTGTGGTACACAATTAGGTAGGTAATATTACTGATATTTTGTAATGGAATTCTTCTTGCTTTTCACTTCAATATATATATTTGTTAAAGAAGCATTTGTACCTAAATGGCCTTGGAAATATATACAGCTATGACCATTCCTTTAACATGGATGCTCAGCCCAAACTTCATGTAAGTTCTCGTGGCCATGTAGTGCATGTTTTCATGAACAAAGTATATGTGGGTACGTATTTAAATAAAAATCAGTATTTAATTTTTTTTTTAGTAAGTAATTTTTTTTTATCTTAGATGCCAAAACTTGTATTTTTCACATAATGATATTTCAGGAAGTGCACATGGAAGTGCTCAAAATCATGGGCTTGTATTTAAGAATGCTATCTCTCTGATAGCAGAGAAGAACAATATTCCCTTGTTAAGTGCGACAGTCGGATTTCCAGTAGGTTCTCTTGACCTTGGTTATAAAATCTAGTTTGTTCTTGTACTTGTCAATCATTTTATAATACAATTATTTGCTCTATTTGCATAATCTATCAAGATGGTGCAAATGAAATGTTTAACCAGAGAATATGTTGCTTTCTATATTGAACAAACCTCAATTCTTGAGAACTTTATAATGAGGCAGTGTCTAAAACGACTTCTGGATGTTTGGTTTTATTTTTGAGACAAACTCTGAAAAATATCCCACAACTGGAAAAAGTAAAAGTAGTACAAAACATAAGAATATGAACAAAAAAACTCAAGTTAAGGACAATAATTGATTTGTATGTTGTTTATTATCTAAGAATTTATTAACTTGTATTCACTTATATTCTTTTGCAACCTATACATTTTCATAAATTTAATAAATATTTTTAATCGTATGAAATTTCATTTTTACTTCAATATGTAACTCCACCTATCTCGAAAACACTATCAGTTCATTTCAGAAAACTAATCTCAAAAGAAGAATCACATAAAAAGTAGTGGGTTGGCTTAAAAGAAGTTTTAGATATTTAGCTATTCTTACAATAACCATTTGTTTTGAAGGATGGTGGTGCATATATGGAGCGAAGAGTAGCAGGGATTGACATGGTCAACATCCAAGGAAATAGTAATCGCAAACTTGACCTCTCTTTTCACCAATGGGCTTATCAGGTCCCTATTAGACCTCTTATTTTAATCCAATTCCTTTTTGGACTAATTTTAGTCTTTGAATATATTTAAAGTCTTCTCATGTAAAGTTTCTTTCAATCCCACTTCCATTAGATGGTGAACTTCTAGATGGGAGTATATAGACAAATGCATCAATTCTTCTATGTAGGACATAATAGACAAATTGTAACAAGAAATCCCATCATCAACATGTTTTGTTTTATTTTGGGGTAGAATTTATTTCTCATCAACACTAGGGTGAGTTTTATAATTGATGCAGGTTGGCATGTTAGGAGAGAAGTTAGAAATTTACACCCCTCAAGGAGCGCAGAAAGTTGATTGGATAAATGCCACTAGTTCCACTCATCAACCCCTCACATGGTACAAGGTATTCCACTTAGTTTTAGCGGCTAAATGAGGGTTCTTCATATATGGGAAGAAGAAAATATACTCTTATCCCATAGGCAATTAATGGCTTACTAGTTGTTGGTATGTTTACATGCATAAGAAATGAGTATAAGAAACATTTGGGTTCCATGTCATTTACTTTTGGGAGAGTTGTTAATATCTCGTTACCTTAAGAATTTTTGTTTATTCCACAACTGCTTCAGTCATATATAGATACACCTGGGGGAAGTGATCCAGTTGCGATAGATCTTAGCAGCATGGGGAAAGGGCAAGCTTGGATCAATGGGGAAAGCATCGGACGGTTTTGGCCGTCATTTCTTACTCCCACAGGAGAGTCCTCACAATGTATGTATATGAAGAAATATATTAAATGATCCCCCTCTTTCCTCTCTCTCTCTCTCTCTCTCTCTAACAAACTTACATGCCACACACACACAAACTTGCACATGAATAGTTGTATGCACACACACCTGCAATCATACACAAACAAATGCACGCCAACAATATGAAGTATTTATTTCATGTCTCTCTTTCTGATGTAGGTACCATATTCCTCGATCATTCTTGAAACCTTCTGGGAACCTTGTGATACTATTCGAGGAAATGGGAGGTGAACCTGCTCATGTATCTCTTGTAAACGTCACAGTTAAAAGTGCTCAAGTGGCATAGAGAGGGTACGCATGACATATTTCTTTTATCTCTGTTATCATTTAGTCTTGAGTGTAGTCAATTTTTCTGCTGATATGCTTTGAAGTTCATGTTCCCCAGTAACTTTTTGGTTTGATTAAACGGGAATGTATAGGTTAAAGATGTTGCTCCATTACAATATCACCAAAGCATGTTGGAGGTGACCCGTGCTCCAGAATCTAAAAGGGGTTGAAGTGAGATGTAGTTGATAGTGAAGGGGAATGAAAGATTAATAAATCAACATATAGAATGATGTTCAATTTTTATAACAATAGTTGAAGGCTTTCATTTTTTATACCAACAGTGGAAGGTTCTTGCTATATATGTGGATGGAGTTCATTTTATAATGTTTTATGTTTTTGAATGACATTAGGGACTTCTATATACTCCATAAAAAAACTACTTGAACATTCGGTCACCAACTTGAACATTCGGTCAATGGTTATGGCATCAATTCATTGAAATCACCTTCCACTCTTTCCGTTTCCAAAAAAAAAAGGGAAGTTCCTTTGCTCAGAGTATTTGAAGTTATATAAAAAACAAATTCCTTATTCCATGAAATGCAAAGGGTTTAGAGAAAAAATTGTATTTTAAAAGAATACCTCATAACGAAAAGCTGAAATAAATCAATAGAAGCAATCAAAATGTGTTGCAAGTTAAATGTTAGATGTTATTATTGCTTCACCAGAATCTTGTGCATATTGACCAAAATTTTCAATGACAAAAGGAGAGTCACCAAAACTGTTCAATACTTCACAAAAGGGTGCAAAAGTTTGTAAGGTCATTTTTTCTATATTCAACATTTAGGAAAATTATGGCCATTAGAGATAAAAGCTATAAAGCCTCCAAGATTTCATGAACTTGATGGTTTTGATCCTCAAGTGGTATTTTTCATAGTCAGTAGGTAGTTGACTCAGTTTCAATAGAGAGAAGTACAATTAGCATCAAGGTATTGGTTCGACAAGTCCTTAGTCCAGGCCCTACCTCCAACTCTATTGCTTTGGACATATAAATCTAGATCTATAGGGAATGTCAACCAAATAGCCAAAGTACAAGTAGAGTACCAAAACCTTTTCTTAGAGGACACATACAACATCGCTGAGATTACGGTTTAGTCAGACATATCATGGGCTATATCCTTGGTCGGAATTATGGATAAAAAGACCATGTTTCTCCCTCATGATTATAACAGGCCTAAAATTAACACGATGGTGTTGTAAACACATCTTTTTAGAGGTACATTTTCAAACATTTGAACTTCATCATCTTGTGGGAGCAAAAATCAGGGATTTTTAGTATAGGGTACAACACTTGTTAACACCTTTAACTCTGGCATAATAATGTAGTTAAATAAATAACTCCAAGTAAAAGGTCATCTAAATACATATCCTTAGAACTCTAAATTAAACCTTAACTCTGGCATAATAATGTAGTAAATAAATAACTCCAAGTAAAAGCCCATATAAATACATATCCTTAAGAATCTAAGTTATAATACTTTTTTATTGTAAAGTTTTCATATTTATACGTCACCGTGATTTTTTATCCCCCTTAAAGTGTAGATTAGATGTTGTCTCTCTCCCTCTCCTTGCACAAATAAAATTTTATTTTTTAGATTTATAATTAAAATAAATAAAAATTTGTAGAAAAAAGCCATTGAAAAGAAAATAAACGAAAACGATCCCAAAAGTAAAAATCATTGATAAAATATAAAAACAATAATAAGTTAATATCCCACTGAAAAAGAAAAATGGTTAAAATTCAAAACACTCACCCTACGACATAGGGACATATGCACTAATTAATATAATCGATTAGCTATCTCTTGCAGTATATAATCTATCAGCACTCTAATGCATACCTCTTAGATACGCAAATAAAAAAAAAAAGGTTAAGAAGAATTGAGCATACTATGCATGAAGATTGTTC